AACCGACGCAGCCGAAGCCAGTCCCGCCGCTGACGACGATAGATGATGATGGGTCAGCTGGGAGTCGGAGGAGGGGCTCCTCCGGAGCGAGAGGGCTCGAGTGAGCGAGCGATCAAGAGTCGGCCGACGAGCACCCTGGGCCGGGTGCTCATCCCCGCCGACTCTGGCTACACCCGACGCAACCATCATCCATTCGTCTCTTCTCTCGATCCGGCTATCGCTTCTTTTACTTCCTCTTCCTCTTCTTCTACTATTTCAAAGAAGAATAACCCGGCCAGGGTCGATGGATCCTCGCTCCTCTCCTCCTCGACTACCGTCTCCGACACCCTTCACTCCTCCGACAAGTCCCCCACTCCCACCCCCCCTCCTCCTCCTCCTTCGCTTACTAACCCGACTCGTGATAATCACTCGCTGGCTGCTCTGCCGTTCACTAGGGCGCCGAACTCTAGACTCAGGATCGTTAATAAAAGGATCAAATATTCCACTTGAACTTTGCTCTCTCTCTCTCTCTCTTTCTTTGTATCTTAATCAATCCAACCGCCTCATTCATTGATTATCTTTATTGTCTTTGTTGTTGGGTTCGTACTCTCTCTCTCTTATTATATTTTTTTTTTCTTCACATGTTGTTACTAGTATAATCAGAACTCATTTATTATCATTATTTGCTTATTCTTATTAGTTATTTGAGTTATACATGATTCTTGAGAGTGGTCTAGACAGAAGAGGGGGAGAGCGGAGGGATTTGAAGTCAGGAAATTGTCCAGACCTGCGATTGAAATTTGAGATGAATGAAGAGAAGAGCGAAGATGAAATGAGTAGGGAAGGAGTGGTGAATGATGGTGGGATGAAGAAGAGATGGTCTTGAACTCTTGTTTTGAATTTTTGATTTTTTTTCATGAGTTTCTTATAGAGTGACAGTCTCATGGGTATGTGGGATGCGGTTGGGTTTGTTTAGTTCAAGTGAGGATGGTTCTGATCAAGCGGGGTATGTCAGGATGGGTGATGTGGTCCGGAAGATGATGATGATGATGATGATGATGATATGGATATTATGTAAAACTTAAACAGAGATGGGATGAATTGTTTGTGGGTGGGATTTCGATTTCATGGTCTGGGATTGGAATTTGGATCCGCAGTGTGTGGTTGTTGATGATGGGTTGAAATGGGCGGATGATGGATTGACAGGCAGTGTGTGTATTATGTAGTCAACTGAAAAAAACTTATAAACAGAACAGAACAGAACAGAAGCATATTTCAAATCGTTTGCAGTGGGAAGAGGTCCGAGGACGGGATGACTCTGATTGAAATAAGCCAGCCAGTCTGAATAATCCTCACTCACACTCACTCTCACTCTGCTTCTCCTTCTTCTTCTTCTTCTTCTTCCTTCAACAATACAATCAACACCAACATGGCCTCTGATCAAACCGAACACCAACAACAACAACAACAGACTATCCACAAGAAAGGTAATCAACAAACAAACAAAATAACAAACAAAATAACAAAATACTGACTTAAACTTCACTCACAGCTTCAATCAAAACATTCATCACCAGAATCAGAAGATCAACTACAACCACCACCACAAGAAACCACAACGAACACCAACAACCACCACCCACCGCCACTCCCCATAACAACCCAACAACAACAACAACAACAACAACAACCAACTTCATCCGACTTCAAACTCCATTCATCAACAAAACAAACTACTTCTCACTTCCTACCACCTTTCACCAGCCAAAACTTCAAACCAACCCAACAAGGAA